ATATATTCCCATGTAAAACTTTAATCTCCGGTGTGATCCACCTTTCCATCGAATGAATAATTTGAACAAATTTGAATCTACACTAGATCAGAAGGCTGTCATTCATGTTTAAGTTTCATCTTTTCTTGCCAATGGTTCATGAGAACGTTTTTGAAAATATCCATCCTATTTTTTGCCTTTTCTTGATTATTTCCCCTTACAAAAGGGCATACCTCTTCACTTGGAATTAAAAAAAATTAATCCATTTCACCCAAGAATACTTTGTGCCTAAATTGGTTAAAGTGAGCCAGAAGTTTCTGTGAATGAAATGAAAAGTTTACGGAAACAACGACAACGATAGTAGAGACAGACAAAATGCAATTAAATTTTGATCAGAAAAAGTCGCCTGAGCCTTTGGCTCATGTGAGCTTAAAAGATTTAAATATACTGGACGTCATAGAGAACTGAGCTTCTGTGCATGTCAACAGTATAAAAATTCAGAATTTAATTATACACAGAACATTGCAGTCTCTCAAACACTACAATGGGAGGTTCCTGTTGTAAGTATCTAAGCCTTCATGCAATAAAAGATTAGTGGTGACCTTGATAATAAGAAGTAGATAAATAAAAAAACATTTTTGGATGCATTTTCTGTAACGTGCGAAGAAAATTTGTACTTTCTGTCTGACTATTAAATTTGTATTTTCCCTTTTCAAATTAAAGTTTGTGGAATGTAGTAAACTGTTTTGTATAAATTAATGACAGAACCCTAGGTCAATAACTGGTTTTTTTGTTGTTGTTACTGTTGTTATGCCCACGTAATCGAAGATTCGGGTCATATAGTTTTTGCCCTGTCCGTCTATCTGTCTGTTTGTCTGCAAAAAACTTAAACCCTGCCCATAAGTTGATTGGTTGGAGCTATGGCTCTCACATTTCACTTTGACAAGACCTTTCTTTGGGTACCGACATATTTGCCCTTTTGGTCATGGGAGTTTAACCCACTTTTGCATCATTAGGGGTCTCCCCATTTTTGTTTCTAGTGAATCGCTCTATTCAGAAATGGGATGGGAACCTCTTGTAGAGAGAAGGAAGAAAGCAAAATTAACTACAATGTTTAAAATACATATCAACATTGTATTTTTTTTTCTTTGTATGCAAGAAATATAAACGTCCAAGAAATGACTGAATAAATATACATAATAGACACTCAATTTTATTATGTGGAAACATCTGCCGATGCAAATATTCAACTTTTCTGTAGTGTACAGAAATTTGTTCGAAAATCAGATAGATTCTAATTCAAGACAATGTCTTTGATTTCAATAAGTATATGTAGAATGAAAATGTTAAATTTTTAATAAACATGCAAGCCTCTTGTTCAATAAACATTGTAATCAGTGTATATGTAACATTAGAGCTCTGGTAGATTACTCAGAGTATGTGTCTTTATTATTTTCATATATATATATATATTTTTGGTAAATTATCTCTATTTATTATAACAATCATTTTGCCGGTATTTATTGTTTGTATAACAAGGATAGGATCTATTAAGTTGAAAGAAGTTGTATCTAATCCTTTTGTATGTAATTACATAACAGAATATGTTCAAAACAAACCCACTTTTGCAAAATTTTACCAAACAACTGTTGAACAGTTGGTGCTAGGCTTTCATACTTCACATGTTTAATTTATTCCTTGTGAGAAGACCTTTTCGTGGGTAGAAACATTTTTGATCTTTTAGGCCTTGACCTTGGAGTTTGATACACTTTTCATAAAAACTAAACCTTGGCTATAACTTTTGAATGGTTAGTACTAGGCCTTTCATATTTCACAGTAGTATTTCTTGTGACAAGACCTTTCATTTGACCTTAAACTTTTATCTATGTTTTGATAACCTTAAGCTTGACAATAATTTTTGAATAATTGATGCTAGGGATTTCATAATTTACACGTGTATTTCTTGTGACAAGTCCTTCCCTTGGACAAGTCCTTGACCTTGGAGTTTGTCCTACTTTCAAAAAATCTTTAACCTTGGCCATAACCTTTGAACGGTTGGTGCTAGATCTTTCATCATTTTATATATATAAATTTCTTGTGACAAAGCCTTCCCTTGGGTACCAACAGCTATGACTTTTTGTCCTTGACCTTGGAGTTTAACCCACTTTTGAAAAACTTCAATCATGTTCATAACTTTTGAATGGTTGGAGCTAGGGCTTTCCTATTTCACATATGTATTTCTTGAGACAAGACCTTCCCTTGGATACCAACAATTTTGATATGACCTTGACGTCTGACTTACTTTTGAAAAACTTTATGACCTTCGCCATAACTTTTCAACGGTTGGTGCTAGGGCTTTCATGTTTTACAGGTATATTCATGGAAACAAGATCTTGGGGGGGGGGGGCAATTTTTTTTTATCTCTTGATCTTTGAATTTGACTTGCATTTGAGAAACTTTAACCTTCCCCATAAGCTACCATACGGTGGCATCAGTGTTTTACAAACACATCTTGTCCTTAACCTGCTTTTATATTTTCGTGATGAGTGGCTACGTTGAGAGTTTTTGGAACAGGTATATCACTATTAACTACAGGCTCTACCTGGACTTAACTTGTATGGATGAAGCATTTTGATATTTTATAGATGACCCACACTTCCGAACTTGTGACCAGGGAGGGGCTAGATGGTAAAAAGGTATATGGGTGGGTTTGGGTGGCTGTCAATAACTTTTTCATAAAGATATTAGCAGAAAAGTATCTTGAAATGCAAAAAAAAAAACCACATTTCTAAGTAGCAAAACTTCACAGCCATTACTAGTTTAAAGTTCTTCAAGATACTTTGGAAAAACAAAGGGGGGGGGGAGGGTGGTTCCTGATCTTCAATCCTTATTTTTTGACAAAATTTAGATTTTTATTAGGCTTTGCAATAAACATATCGAAATCTCTAATGAGGATTATTGTACAATGTATGAACGCCTGACTGAAAATGTTGAAAGACATACTAGTATGGAGGGGAGTCTGAGAACCTGATGGAAAGCACCATTTTTCTCGAATTTACAACCGATTCATTATAACCTCAAACATGCAAAGATAAAGAGTATTTACTTAATCCTCTTTATAAATCCACACCCAAGAGAACATTTTCGTGAAATATCAACGTCTCCGTCTCATAAAGCAAGATTTAAAGTAGCCAGCAAAATTAGCTGGAAACAGGAAAAAATGTGCAATACGAGTCAAGAAAAGGAAATAGCCTTAAAAAGGTAACCACAAGTTGTTAGATAATTGTAATCAGTTCAGCGAGTGACACGAAGGCTTTTATCAAAAGATTCTAATACTGGTAAGCTTCATAAATATCAAAGAGCGTTTGGATGTTGGCACCGTTAATAACTTGGTAAACAGACAAATACCAACCAGACAGACCACGACGCCATTAATCCTCAGAATCAGAAGCAACTGAGGACGGAATTAGATCAATTCTGATGACAAAATGGCATGCAAAAATCAAATTAAAGATGGAATTGACTTGACATTTGACGTTTAAGGACAATAGGACAGCAAATAATATTGAACTCTCTTGTCATTAGATTTATTCGATGATTTATAATTACTCACTCGTCGGCCATTTGTGATTGATTGTGCCTCAATTTAGAAAGGTTCTCATTAAAACGCATTTCTTCTTCTTCTTTGTTTAGAAAGCTTTTTCTAAAGAAACATTTCCACGTATGGACTATATATATTTCATTTCTTTCATTCCAAAATCAGAATGCATAAGCACAATTATACATCACTATATCCCATTCCATGCATCGTTTTCATTCCTTCTTTTGATTTCCAACGGCTAAAATCGTATCCAAATACACCTGCCTACACTATAAGAAGTTTTGTAAAATGAATTGAATCTGTAAGACGATTCTCAAGTTAACGTCGAACTGATAGGGTGGGTACACCAAACTGACGAGACTTTGGCAAGGTACTTGTATATGAAAAATATCTGGTATACTATCCATTGTGTCAGCATCCACTTGCATCCTGAACTAGCAAAGAATGACAACTCCAAATAGTGATGCACGAAATAAATGGACTTGAAATTAAAAAAAAAAAACAATGAAAGATTTTATTAATTTGAAGAGTTGATTAGCTTCCTTGCCCAAAAGACTCAGCTGGATTTAATTTACGGCATTATCTACTACTTTTCTTTTCCGGCATTTTATATTTTTCATATCAGGCATTTATTTTAGTCAATGCTTTTCCAGTAATAGTGAACAGGTAACAATTTGATTCTGTAATGGGGGCTCGTAGATTTTAATGTATCCTTGAAAATAAACAAAATAAATAATCTGTCCTCAACTGGCCAGAAAATGAATAATCCGTCGATCCTTGGCTGGTAATAATCCCCCCATCCCATCCCCACGAAATAGAATTTTGGAGTTCGGCAGCCTTCATCCCCCATTTTGATTTTTGTTTATCAAAATTTTTTCCCGTAAGGAGGAAATAATCTTTCCTCATCTTGAAAATAAATAATCTGCCTTGTCCTTGACTGGCATGAAAATAAAAAAAAACCTTTACAAGCACAGAGAAACAAATGGTCGTCCACTTACAAAAAAAATGCAAACAATACTTTTTTATAACTTGTAGTACAATGAAATTCGAGCGATTGAATTAATCTTCACTGAAGTAAAAGGAATTGTAATAATTCAGTGTAAAACAATGTACGGTGACAAATTGACTGCAATATATCAAGTGTCTATGACGTAAAACTGGTGCCGTTACTGACACATAGCTCTACTTGGGAAATACCTCTACTAGATTATATGATTAAGGGTGTCAATAATTCACTTTCGAATATTCAATAAGTATTCGAATATTCGTTAAAATACATATGTTCTGACTTAATACTTCAAATACGCACTACATGTATCCTACCCTACCCTCACCACAGGTATTTAAAATACCGAAAATATCGTCAAACATTTGATCTGGGGGACAAAACTATTCTGAAACGCACAACTCAAAAACTGAAAAAGAATTATAATTTAATTGATCCAATATAAGTGAATAACAAAAGGGAATAACTTCTCTAAAATTGAGCCCCACTCTAACTCCAGAACCCCTGTCTAAGGGGACATGGATTTCACAATTTCAAAAGAAGCACACTTTTTCATCAAAACCATGCACATAGTTTCTCTGCTAAATGCTCAAGAGCAGAGAAGAGGATTTTCAAAGAATTAATGCATTTTCATTAAATGATCAATATGCCAAATTTGTTTAATTTGGTTCAGTGGTTCCTGACCAGCTAACACATTTCAGATGTTAATGGATAAATATCAATGACAGACAAAAAAAAATAGCAATATGACACCTGAGTGACTCAGGTTATCTCAAACACCCTGAACTAAATAAAATATATGGACAAAACCCTTTAATCAACATTCAGTGTTAATTATAAGTTATCTCCCTTGAAAAAGCCTGTAAAACAAATTCTCTAAAATTTCCATGGTGACCTAAACATTAAATTATAAACTTAAAGAATATTTTCATAGATCTCTTTACCAAATACTTTTTCCAAAATAATCTTTTTAAAAATTTCTTAATGAAAATGATGTTTTGCTTATAGGGTTCTTTGTTAAATCAAATCAAATCAATTTGGTCAATTCTTTCTATTTTGAGAAAATTCTGAAAAAAAATCTTCTGGTAAAGCTTCTTTTACTTTGATTTTAAGGAAAATTTACGCATGCCTTAAATCTCACTTTTTGTTAAGATGATAATAATTTTTTTGCCATGTTTACATCTAATACACATCCCTTAATTTGCTTACATCAAATTAACAGTACATGGGACTTCTGAATATGTATGTGTATGTGACTAACATGGCAGCCATAACTTGAAGAAATTTAAATCTGCACTAGCTGATGATGCTTCCTTATCAATACAACAAATCAGGGCCTAGCTGTTCTTGAAAAAAGATACTTTTATTTTTTTCTTTATTTCCCATTTCAAATTTTACCCTTTATTTGTGGTCCCACACTACCCCAAGGGGGCATGATTTGAACTAACTTGAATCTTTACTATGTTAGAAAGTTTCTACATGTAGTTTCACAAACAAACATTTTGGTAACTCTGAGAAGACAATTATCACAACTTTTCACTAACAGGGGTAAAGTAAATGCCATGTTTTCTTTCGAATTTTGTTTCTGGGTTAGTTCACTTCTTCTTTGTCTTTATTCCCTTTTCCACTATTGATTTTGGAGTTCCTCCCCTTCTTACAGGGGCCTCTCGGTTTACAATCACAGTATTCGGATGTGGTTCACACACATACACTACATTTTTCTGAACAATTTGCTGGCCCTGCCCTGACTGAACAGGGAGTAGCTGTTGCTGGTGAATTGGGTGGGTGGGATGGGGACTAATATTTTTCTTCTGTATGTGATACATCACTACTGAGTTCTGCTGTGCCACCAGCCTTTGTGTGTTGGGTAGCTTGCGATTGTCTACATTGTTTAGTTGTTTATTTGTCACATTGATAATTGGTGTCATCTTGATGACATTGACAGGGATACACAATGGATTCATTGTGAATAGTGTGGGTTTTTTGGGACAGGTACTCTCAGATGCTGCTGTTCTCTTTCTTTCTGGCTTTCTGCCTCTTTTTGGATTTTCTGATTTGTTAGTTCTGCTTCCAGCTGCACTTGACATTGAATTTGTTGTGGACTTTGACTGACCACTACCAGAATTGTTCTGACTAGATGACTGATGTGAAGAATGTCTTGAAGATCCTGGTTGGTTGACAGATACATTTGTTTGGTCAACTGATGATTGAGCCTGAGAGGACTGGGAATTACTTCCTGCATTCCCAGATGTGAAATCAGAAAAATCTGCCAAAAATGTACACATGGAAGCTAGAGACTTTTGAACATTATCAGATATGAACCAAGCATTTTTAAGATAAAGGTACAACAAAACTTGCAAAAATAATATTCACAAAATAAAAAGTCCCTTTGAAGAATGATTACCATTCTCAATGGCTTTCCTGGCTTTAATGAGTGCTGAGAGGGGATCATTCATGTTTACTTTTCCTGCTAGTAGCCCATACTTCCACTGCATAATCTCTCTCTGTTTGGTTGTATTGTGTGATCTTAAAAAATCTACCAGACCATGCAGAAGATCCAGAATTACTGCTGCCTCTGCAGAAAGATATTTCAGTTATAATGAATTCGGAGAATCAAAAAAATGCTTACAATTGTTTGAATCTAAATTATAATGTCTTCATTCTAAATCAAAAATGAAGAGTAACTTGAATATCTACCAACATTCACAATTAACATTCATTTTGAAAAAGCAGTATTGGTAACTGGTGAACAGGAATTAGAATTTAATGCTGATATCAAATATTACAATTCATGAATGTATTTTACAGGGATTGCTTAGTACCGGTATTAATCAGTGTTTTCCCCTGACCATTGCCCAGCTATATAGTAAAACATACTTTTCAGGTTAAAATATAAACATCAAGCTCAAAAGATGTCCTCATCTGATTATTCTTCAACTATATATAGTAAATACAGTATTTTTTTTTTAATATAACCAGCTAATTTGCTCAAAATCCTAAGATATTGCTTATAACATACATATAACATGTAGTTCTGCTTTCAAGAATATTAATGCATCAAAATTTCACTTCAATGCATTTAGCACATATGTAATATAATGGTTTGCATAGATTTTCATTCAAACAAATTTCAACACAACTGTCCAACAACTGCTGGACTAACTAAGTTTATCCAACACAGTCCCAGCCATTTAAAAACCTTCAAGAAAATACATAGAATTCAGTGTTCTTGCACATTTTTTTTTTTAAAATGGCATTTCCTAGCTGCAGGTCTGTAGCTCGCTGGTCTGAAAAAAAAAATTGGAATGAATGACCAGAGAGCTACAGTGCCACCCATAGAATTGCAGCTAGGCATTTCCAAGATGAAAGCCGTACAATCACTTGACACAAAATCATTGTTTGCTTTGTGCAATATAGTTAGCTGCAGAACTGTATCTATAAAAAAAATTAGATATTGATTCCTGCAGTCTGTCAGTATATATATTTTTTGGAGAGCTACAGTTCCGCAGCTATATAAGCATGTTCTTAATTCTACTCTTTTCAATAAAATAAATGTCTGGTGCATTAAAGTTATACTAAAAATTATGCAAGTTATTACATCACACTGGTCAAAAATTAAGGTCTCTGATGTTAGGAAAAGTGACTTGTTTACAAAGATCCAAGCATTTGTTGCAAACTGGAAAATACATGTACAAACTTATATACAAAACAAAATCTTGACAGGGGAAGAATTTTGGGTTGTTTGACAAAAAATCAGGTGAAGAACCCCAGGTTTTAAAAAAGATTTGGGTTACAGGTTGAAAAATCAGGTGTATCAAGTGTGACCTAAAATTTTGTCATTTGCATAAAGAAGCTCAGGCCTGCCTCTTTTACCTACCTTTCTAGACTGGTTGTCTTTGCAATAAATATACATTTCGCACACCATTATTGCAACAAAAAAATTTACTCAAGAATGACTTTTGGTAATAACATGTGTAGCAAAAGAAAATTGATTCATGTATCCTCTTGAAAAAAAAATCTTGTTAAATTACAACCAATACCTAGCTTTCCTAATTCAGGGAGTTCACTCTCTGACAACATGCTGGAAATATACTTGTAGATGGCTTTATAGTCTGGTGTACTGGGTCCAGGCTGTGGAAATTCTTCTAGGTTTGCTATGATGGACACCACCTGATTAGAAAGAGAAGGCACAGGTGTAGTACCAACGAGGTATGTATAGTAGCTTAGTGTAGGCTTACCATATGAAAGAAAACATCAAATACCCAATTTTTTTATTTAAAAACAGGTCACAGGTTGTAAAACACTTTTGGTAAGCGATTTTATGAAAAAAGTACAGTTGAACTTTGTTATCTCGAACTTTGACATCTCATATGCCATGGCATTGTTGAAGTGGGTTGGAAGTCCCCTTCATGTATTTTTAATCTCAGTACCTTGAACCTTTGAATGTTTTGAAGATTTCTTTTTCCCATCAAGTTCAAGATAATGAAGTTTGGGTGTATTGTTTCATCACCTACCTCGATCTAGACGAATTTTCCAAAGTTACCATATTCCAATGACTTTTTTTTAAAATAGATATTTATCTCAATTTTGATAAAATATGAATAATTTATCAAAAGAAAGAGAGATAACTATATTTTTGGTAAAACTAAAAAAAATACAATAGAAATCAATGGAAATAGGAAATCACTTTAAAGGACCCCCCCCCCCCCCCCCCAAAAAAAAAACCCATAAATTCCTTTATACAGAAATACAAAAATTATATTTAAATTCATATCAAAGCTTTTGTTGTCTCACTGTGGGGGATTTTGGGTTGGGGATATGCACTATAACTTTTCATTTTGTGACCAATATCATATAAAATATATGATATACAACTACAAAGCATGACCATGGGTGTGGAGGATTTACCATCATTTGTTTCTCTATAAGCCTGAGGCAGAAACCAGAAGGTGTACTGCATTGTACATCTTACCTTTTCGTAGTTAATAATCAATAAATTTAAGTTAATTAAGAATAATAATCTCTATACCTCTGTACACTTATATACTACTACAAGAGCCACGGTTAATGTCCCTACCCTCCTTATTTGCCTTAATTAGCACTAAGTCAAAAGTATCTTAATTGCCATGAACGTCTAGCATGTTTGAGAATAGATCTATATATAATAAATTTTCTAGCTGACCCTTTCATGTCCATATATCACTTCCCTGCATATCTAAATTTTTAGTATCTCCATTTGGTTTTTGTAAGCTTACATTCTGGGAAACCTTGTTTATTATTATTACAGATGCAAAAATGGAAATAATCTGTGTTTTCATTTATTTTCATATAAATGAAGATTTAGAAAATTGTTATGGTGACAAGCTCAACAGCAAGTTCACCGGTGAAGAGTTACATCATCTCACATGGTATATCTTATAGACAGCAGAATCTACCACCTAGCATATGGATATACATGTACAAGTATGGCCATCCTTAAAAAATTGTTTGGAATTGCCGCCTGGGAGGTTTCAGACCCAGGAGGAAGGGAAATTACTTTTTTTTTCAAAATTAAAAATTGATGATAAAAATCTCAATAAGGAATGAACACATTATTTTCTGCCTTTTTGTAAAGGGTATTTCCCATCAACCAGGAACCCAGTTTTGCTAGATCCTACACTTATTAAATGATTGGGTGGCACATATGTTAATGGGCAAAGAATTGATTGAATAAAAAAAATCTTATTTTTGGTCAATAAAATTTTTCCAGGAGGGGTCATTTCAATGAGGCGGGAGGCAATTCCAAACAAACAATAATTTTATTTTGGCCTATCTGACAACCTGAAAAATATTTCTGATTATGACCTTGATCTTTAGTCATTTTGGCCTTCATTAATTAAACATAAATTACAAGCAACTTCGCAAATACAATGTAAACCATCACTATTCTACAGGACATTTCTGGCAAAAATCTCATCTTTTAACTGTCAGGATCTAATATATATACAATGGATAAAGATTTTAGTTTTATGATATATAAGATAGTCACTAGCATGGTTTGTCTTTAACATTTCATCAAATAAAGAGTACATGTACTATACAATGTGTAATATTTCAAGATCATATAGTTTTCTCCAGGTAGTTGACTTGCAATATGAAACAGATATAACTAAGAGGTAGTGGTATTGTGAGTGAGATCAAAAAATAATACACCCCCAGGCCATTTTGGGTAACCCGAATTACCAAAATGCCCCCGATTTACCGAAATGCCCCTGGAAATTACCAAATGCACCTGAAAACTACTGAAATGCCCCTTTAATTATGTTCTTGAATACATTTTATTGTAAAATATGTTAAATTTTTATTCAAAATATGCCGTAATTTTAACATAAGTACAAAAACGGTGTTTATTTTGCTCAATATCGCGATTTCAAAGAAGGATAACTCTTGCAATATTGTTATTCCATGTTTTCTTTTCTTTTCTTTTTTTTTTTTGTGTTTCATGAATTTATTTACTTTAATTAATTTTTTTTTTTTTTTGTAAAGATTAATAATTTGTATTATTATTTGACCAAAAATTCGTAATGATTATACGATGACGACAAACAATACTGACAATTTCATTCCACCACTCTTAAAAAAACGAAAGTGTGATCTTTATATATAAAGCATTTCTAAACTTGACTGAATAACAATTTTTTTTAATTGTCGCTGACAAATTTACTATTATAACATCCTTATTAAAAAGATTGATTTCAACTCTCATTCTCAACATAAGCATGAAATTTTGTATATAATATATTAAACCATACATGCATTTTGGGTTACAACATGAACATTTGTAAAACGTACATGTATTCCACTGCAAATCTTCATGTCAATTTTCTCATTCACAAATTTCAAGACGAAACAATCAATACATCTAATTCACATCTTAAACAAACATTGATGTATCTATCGCAAAGAATTATAATTTTTTATTGTTGAAATTAACTCCCGTAACGAATAATTTCCGCTAAGAATTTTCCCCCCAAAATAATTAATGCTAAATTCGTTCCAGATTTCAAAAGTCTATACTAGCCTAGTATTTGTATTTATACACAACAACAGAAAACGAAAATATGTCAATTCCATGTTCATTTTAATAATTAAAAATATTATAACTTTATTCCGCAACACTGCCTTAATTAGGACCGCAGCTCTTCCGCAGGTACATATACATGTAAATAGAAACTGTTGTAAAATGTTAATGATACCATATTTGTGGATAATTCTTTTTTTTTCCAAACGCACTGAAATATTCTTGATAAAATTATGGTGCTAAAGTATATATTTAAAGTCAGTATTTTTTAATTCATGTTGTATATTGTTTCGTCTGAGTCAAGATTGCTTTCAAAATGCTTTAACTGCCAGTGACACAACAGTAATTCTTTTTTTTTCTTACACTTTCACCTCATTTTGCAGCAAAATCTGCAGAAATCATCATGGATTAGCACGTAAGAAAGATTTAGGGCATACAATGTAAGTCATGCAAGAGAGAGTTTACGTCCTTATTTTCTGACATCATCAAAACATTCACTAGTACATGTATAAATTTTCTGTGTTTTTTAAAAAAATCATTTTTCTTGTGCATGGAAATAAGTTTTTGCGGTCGATTTGATGCTTTGTATCAGTCTTAATTTTTGTCATTATATATAAAGTACATGCGCTTCTACAGACAAAGAGTTATCTTCCTTAGATGAACATACGTATTGTATGTTATACATACAAATATGAAAACAACATTTAAATATTTTTTATTTTTCTTTTCATGATAAATTATACATACTGAACACATAATCTTCCATATTATCCCACATATTTATATTTTTAGGGGCATTTTGGTAGTTTCCAGGGGCATTTCGGTAATTTCTACGGGCATTTCGGTAAATCAAGGGCATTTCGGTAATTTGATGTACCGGGCCATTTTTGTTATGTATGAACTTCCAACGTTTCTCCATCAGAAAGTTACAAACCAGACTCAAATTATACACTTGTTGTTGGCTACTGAAAATAACAGAAGCCCTCATTATTCTGAAAAAAGCTCAGTTGTCTGGATAGATCTTTACTTGAAAAAATTAATTAACCCCTTTCTTTTAATGTGTAATTAACATTTTTTGGGTTGATTCATTTCATTTTATCTGTTGTAATACACTGAATGAAGAGAGGTAACTCCTTTATGTGATAGTAGAGTCAATTTTCACTATCTAGAAATCAAAAAATGGAAGTCCAAAACACTTTTCTTCAAGTATTTTTACCATAATATCTAAACCCTCAGCTAATTTCGAGGTTTCACTTGGTCCCATGAAGTTTAAGATAACAAGGTTTGACTGTATATGCATGATTTCAAAACTTTCTGAAGTTTAAAAGCATTTATGGTACTGTCCACTTAAATGTAAACACGTACAAAGTTTTTATACTATCAGCACATATGTACAAATATTAAGGAATACCGGTAATAATAGATACAGATACATAGGAATTTGTTTTACCTTGCCCAAGTTCACTGTGTAGTCTTTCTTCTCCTGACTTGTCAAATCACTTAGTAAAGTGAGCCAGTGCTGAAAAAAAAGAGAGCCTTTAATGTTCACCTGTCAGTGTCACAATGTAAGTCTTTTCCCCAAAGTATGTGTTATTTTTCCTTTTTGTCCTTTGTACAACTTGAAAGCCATAATGCATCTCCATTTCCTCTAAAGAGACAAATTGAAACGTTTAAAATAATTTACATGAGGAGATTTTCATGATAATTTGATTGCACCCTTGTCATTATAAGTTTATAAAATCTCTTGGAATACAATGTTTAGAATTAGCCCCTTGACTTGATTCTGCTCACGTAATGATGACTCCTTAGGAATTTTACAATTTGTATCCCTATTAAATTGAGAAAAAGATATTAATGAATTTTCATTATATTTTTTTGGTAAACTTTGTGGTCCTATCCCTTAACTTACCCTAACAGCCCTGAAAGTATATTTCAAAATTTTTCATATGTTATTATTTTGGGAGGAGGGGGCAGTGTAAAAACTGGCTACAGTATTCAATACTTGAAGATATTAGAATATATACTGTAAACCAACCTTTATTTGTGTGAGAGAAAAATCTGCAATATACAGTATAACTTGGGTAGCTATTAAATTCATTCCTTAGATGACCCAATGTTTTCAATTTCATAAATTTGATCATCATTCCAATTAAGCATATTTTAATTACCAACCCTGCACATGGATTCTAGAAATAGTACATTATACATGTAAGCAAATTGAGTCACAGCAATGATGCAATATGTGCACTTGACAATTAAAAAGAGGCAAAGTTTTACCAAAACTTTTTCTACAAATAACATTCTAAGAAATCCTATCGGCACTATTTACCTCTATAGGAGCCTTTGGACCTCTGCTGGCTGAAAAAAAAAATCAAAAGTAAAAAGTGAAAGAACAGAAAGAAAAAATAAATAAATAAAATAAAAAATCATGTTTCGCACATAAATTTCAAAATCCAAGTTTAATTTCTCTGAATTCTTATGATTCTCATCTGTATGATACAAGGAAATACCTTTTATTTTCCTGATTGCACCTTTTTTCATCTTATTTATGAAAATTTCTATCTGCAAAAGTAAAATCAGATATTGAACAGATGACTATATAATTAACACATGGTTTTAACAAGACAAATGCACATAAATGTATATATATTCAATACTATAAACAGTAACAGTATTCTAGCAATTCATTTTCCTTCATATCTCCTAGTACATGTATTATGTATATCCTGTGCACTCATTTTATGTATCAAAATTCTTCAAAAGTACTATCTCACTCTTATTTTTTTTAATCAATTTTTTTTTTTCATTGTAAGAATTTTTTTAAAAAATTGATATGACAGCATAATTATGTATCTAAACATTAAATAACATCACTCCACCGTTTAACTCAGTAACAGCAATCTTTGTAAACAGGGAAACTTTAACTCAATTCAAAAACAATCAGCATTAAGACATTATGAATACTCACTTACATTTTTCTTTTTTTCTCCCTTTCTTATTTTTATTTTGTTTTAGAGTTCCTTTTTTTTAATTTCTTAAGCTAGAAGTCAATAAAGTATGCAAACCCATTTCAAATGTTTATTTTTAAAGAATATTTCAAGCATGAATAATTCAATTGTTTTTTGTGCCTATCTTGACATATGTACACTGTAGCAGCGATTTCTAATGGATGCAAACAAACCTCTTCTTTGGTTTTGGTTTTCACAACATGGTGTAAAGCTTCCATGTCTGATGGGGAGTGACTGAAAAACAACAGAATTTGTATCATTATAAAGAAACTGAACTGGCAAGTCAGCAAGAGAACTTATAAGATTGTTTGATTCAATGTGATAGGAATTTTTTTCAGGGGTTATCTCTCTTTAATCAATCACCCTCATCTGAATAGGTCTTTTCCTGCTGCCACAATAAACCAACTGCAGAGTTAATAGATGCATACTCAACTCATTAATTATAGGTCACCCAAATTAAAAGCTTTTTTAAAGCATTTATAAACATGCACAGCTAAATTTCCACAGAGTTGTCGAAAACCTTTGGTCCTGTCTGCAAGGCCGTTAAAAATTGTCTGGACTGAAAACTTACAAGAAAACATCAGTCCAAGTGACCAGCGAAAAATCAGGTGTGATGCAAATTTCATAAAGATTGGGATTGTGGTGTTCAGGTGAAGGTCACAAAAACAGCAGAGGCGGCCATGTAGTGGCACTGGTCGATCAAATATATGTATATTAAAGCAGAGACATACTAAATAAGTTATTTATGTCTCTGATTAGGCCAAACAAAAAAATATGTGTGGTTCCGGTTACACTTCCAAAAAAATTAGGGTAGGTAGGTAGGGATTTTTTTTTTTTTTTTTTAACAAAATGATTTTCTTAATTTTTTCTAAATAATACCTATCACTGCTTTGCAAATGGCATTTAGATGTGGTGTGATAATATACTAGTCAATATTGGTAGGGGACACCTACATGCTAGGTTGCTTTGGAATTAACACTATTAAACACTTGCACTATGTTTTGCAAGGAGGCCATCATTGCTGAAACTAAAACTTACACTGGAGCCATTGCTGGAAATCAGGGGAAATTCCGGAAAAAATATGAAAATTGCCAAAAAAAAGTTTAGGGTCGGGGGTATAAAATAGGGAAGGTCGGGTAACCACACATATTTTTTTACTTGGCCTTAAATACTCTCTATCTTAAGAAAATGGCGAGATCAAATGCAGTTGAACATAATAAAGCGCATTTTGGTGCAGTTGTACATTTTACTTTCAGTACAAAGTAAGGTACATATATCTGGGCTGTGTTCAAGATCGTAGCAGCTAACCTAGCAGCTATTCTGTAAATATCTATCTCTATTGAACAGACAGCCAACCTAGCCGCTAAGTGTTAAATTTCGAATATAAATATATCAGTATAAACTTATTTTTGGAGCCAAAAAAGTTTATTTCAAGCAAAATATATATATGTAAATATACATTTAATATGCTAAGATGTACAAAATTATTCCCCATTTAGTTAATATCATATGTGCTGCGAAGTTGTAACTATAAGGAGGCCATCTTGGATTTGGTACTTAGCATCGAATATTCATGCTAGCTCTAGCTACGTAGCGGCTAGGCTAGCTCTCCATTCAAGAGCATAGCTTTATGCAGAGGCTACATAGCAGCTATGCTGTTGAACGCAACCCTGGTCTGACAAAACTTAGACCAGTCTGACAGAACCTTTGACTGTCATACCAAATGTCTGACAATGTTTTGAAAGTTTCGACAACTCTGTTTCCATGCTCAATTGCCCATGAATTATTTATTCATATATAAATATACACTAGTAAAAAATTGCTAACACACCACCAAAAAAAAATCAATATTTAACTTTGCAAAACTTGAATTTGATGTATTTGATACACAAATATGTTTCCAAGTAAAAAATGAAGCATTTAAATGTCTAAGCTGATAGATAACTAGGCCTTTCAACTGCCGCTAGGGTTCGTTATAAAGAACGATAACTCATTACCGGAACTTGTTTAAAGCAGGTGCGAGGTATCTAGTTGTTTTTTAACAGGTCAATTTTCAGCCTTTCCAAATTTTTCCTTTGCTGTCAGCGGAATCCAGTGGTTTTAAAATTTAGCACACGTTAAAATTATTCATAATGTAGTTTTCGACCCTGGGAAATAATATATAAGTGAAATTTTTATTAAAAATATAAAGTGAAATCTACCCCCCTTCTTAATTTTAACCTGATTAAATTTTTATACTTGGTCGTTCTTCTTCGTGCTTAGTAAAACGAATAAGATAATTAATTGTTGCATTTACTTGTAGAAATGTATATCTTTAAATAAGAAGCACAACAATGCACACACAAAAAAATGACATTATATTTTCTTCCTTATAAACTGTCAGAGAGAGTTAAAAATCTTGAATATAGTCCGTTCCCCATTCATCTGATCCCGTTATTTCAGGTAGAGTGAGGATATTCTCCTTGTTTTGGTCAACCCTTTTGTGTACATAACAATACCAACTGAAGCAGCCTATATGTCATTCCTATAAACGATAACTCATAAATCGGCACTTTGTTGGTCGTTTTTCGCACTTGAGTTACCTATCCTTAAAACACAACATCGTACAAATCAATAATTAATAATAAATTTTTTTAAAGATTTAATTAAAGGTATATATATATATATTATAATTTTTTTTTTAGAATTCCACATAGCTGTAAATATATCTATCAAATGTTTTTTACCATACGCGCAACTTGAAAAATTAGTTGAAAGGCCTAAGATAACTACAATATTAACTGAAGCGTAACCATTTTATAAGAAAAATGAAAATTGTGCCCATGCATTTTTGGAGGATTAAATTTCTATTTTTTTTATGTGTTTGTGTTCTTTATATTAGTACAAGTTAAAAACTTAGAAAAATATTTACATCGTATTTAACCCTAGAAGAGCATGCTAAAGCAGTCAATATGGTGTCTGCTGTGGGTTCCTTTGGAGAAATTTGCAAATAATGAAAATAATTAAAAATTATCCATTCCTTTTGTAAACATTGTTGCAAATAGACTAACAAACATAAGAATGTTAAATATAGATAGCCACAGCATTAAGTAACCACTACACAACAATTTAAACATTGTTCTACAAAATCGGGGCAAACGGAAGTTGAGTGGTCTGGGTATGGACACCAAGGAACTAGATGACTACTAGGCGATATGCTAGTCAATCACTGTTTACTATTTGATTTTTTAAGTGGGAAACTGCTTCTGTTGTAACCTAATTTAACAAGCATCGGCAATCTCCAACTTCATACCTGGCCAAAAATGTGCCTTATGCACGTCAGGAAATTAGTTTTTGGGCAATAAAGTTATTTAAGGGTCTTTCATGTCACCAAGACATTTGTCAATCCCACTGTAATGGAAAAGATGGCATATAAGACACTCTAGTTCCAATTAGGCAAATGTTCAATATTCACATATAAGAATAACAAGAGGTGCGTTAGCAATTTTGTCTAGTACATATATATATATATAGTAAATCTCAGAGACCTTTTTAGAGCTCTTAGCAGCAGCCTTTTTTCCTTTACTTTCCAAGTCAGGTTGAGTGGTTGAAATGCTTCCTTTGCTTTTGGCTGTCTTGCTCTGCAAGATCTTGGGAACTACAATATAAAACAAGACAATGAAAGGATTAATATAATGATCCAGATATTCTTAAATATTTACTAGTAGCACATGAAATGTTTTTATCATTTGAAGAAATTCTTTGAAAATTAAGTGCACATGATCGAAATTGTATACAAGTTGCACAATGTTCTACATATAGCAGAAATCAATGCAACACTCCTAAAAACATGTATAAATCCTTGAATTCGGTATTTTAGAGTAAAAAAAAAAATATAAGCATTAATTATCAACCCTTTATTTCACTTTCAACAGTGAAATGCATGTACTGTAATTTATTTATTGAATAAAAGAGAAATTCTGTCACAGTGTGAAAGGATATCAAAGTGACATTCTGTCATAGTGTCGCTTACAGTTACTTGAAGATGAGACCTGCTCCAAAAACTTTAACCTGGTCAATCATCCAGAAAATGTAGGTAAGATCCAGCATCCAAAGCAAGCCTGGTGGTGTACATCCTTAGATGTATCATCCATGCATGTTTGGTCAAATTAGGACTCATAGTTACTTGGAAACGAGATCTGCTTCAAAACCTTTAACCTGTTTCAAAAACATTAACCTGGTCATTCTTTACCTGAAATTGCAGCATCTGAAACCTTGACTGGTGCAATGAATTATATAATAGAAGCATCTTCCATGCATCTCTGATTAATGTAGGGCATAGAAGTACTTGAAAAGAAATCTACTCCAAAAACTTTAATCTGGGATGCCGACGCCAAGGGTATTACATAAGCTTACATTAATCAGTAAAAGAGCTTTCAAGCTCATATTTTTTGTTAAATGTATATAGTCTGACTATAAATAAAATTTACTTACTTACATTAGCTCCCCCCAACTTCATTGAGGTGAGCTAAAAATTGATGCACACAGCACAAATTGTTATCGCATTACCTCTTTGGCTTAGAAAAGCTAAAAGTAATATAGATAGTATGATTCTGCATTCCTTTAAAATCTTAACTCTAAACTTAACTTTTAGATTTTGAATTGAAAGTACATGTATTCCCCAATCATTATGGTAAAAACCAAATGCATAAAAACTTAGTCTATAGACTATTGGCAGGCCTTTCAAAATCTGCCTGTACCCAGTACTTTAACCCATCCAAATCACGATTGTACCAGCCAAAATTTTTGTTGGAGAAAAATTTGGCAACTTATTTTATTAAAATTGCTTCCAAAAGGTATGTTCTATTTTTGTAGAAGTATCACCTGTTTCTCATCTTTTTGAAATCACTGCTATTAGCCTTTACCTGATTACGAGATGAGTTTTGAGGATCATAATTGGGTTGGGGTTTGTTCTTTGAATTTTTTGGCCTTCCACGTCCCCTTTTAGGCTTGGTTCCCTTCATCCCTTCACTTGACAGGTCAACTTGAGGTTCACTGATAACACACTCTTGAATATCATCCATTTTGTTGAATTGCCAATTCACCTATAGAGATAATATGTTGTTAAGAGTAAAATGTCAGGGAGACAATAAAATTTCATAAACCATAACTCTGAAACTCCTTGAAGCCTTCTTAAGCTACACAAAAAACAAAGGATCATGGTTGAAAATGCAGGAGGATGATTGCATGTAATTTTTTGAAGAAAAATTAAAAATGAAGGGTCATTAAACTTTCATCTGTAAACATTGTATACTAGGATCAAAATCTTTTGAAGCTTATATACAGTCCCTGAAACGTTCTACTTTCCCACTTGAACGGTGAGCGAACGGTGAACGAACGCAGAGCGAACGGTGAGTGAACGATGTGTGAACGCTGAACGCAACTTGGTGAACGATGTGTGAACGGTGAACGGTGAGCGAACGCAGAACGCGAACGGAGCGCAAACGCGAGCGCAAAGTGAACGGTGAACGAACGGTGAACGCAAGATGAACGATTTATTCGGAATGCCTCTGATCTTTTCCTTGCATTTAAACTATTCTATTGTATTCGAATGCCTGGTGCTAAAAAATAAATGAATAATAAATAAATAAACAAATCAATGAAAATTGCCCTAAGAAAGACGATACATGCACATTAAGTAAAATTATTAATTTAAGTTTCTTACAATATTTTCTGTACATATGTACGATGTTTAAATTCAACTTTTTAATAACACGATTTTTATCGCTGTAAAACATTGTAATTGTTACCGAACGCTATAGTATAACAGATGAAATTAGTCTATAGTTGTAAAATAAATATGTTTATTCTTATTTGATATATAAAACCATTACAAATAATGTGGATTTTAGAAGAGAAAACTACGGACATATAGAATGAATTACAACGGTTGTAACAACCATACAAGGCGATTCCGTGTAAAATAATGAGAATTTTTTTTTTTTTTTTTTTTTTTTACAAAGGTATGTGGACGTATTGCATAAATACACTCGTAGTTTAAAATTTTAATGCAATAATATATTTATGTGTCAGTTTTATTTTTTATAATGATTTATTGAGCAGACTTCTACATGTATCTGTAGACATTTCCCGGCCGTGATTATACTCGGACAAGATGATACAAAGAATCAATCATATTATTTGTTATATATTAAATTTTCACAACTTGATATTTAAGTAATCTGCTGTCATAGTTTTTATTTAACAGACAAATGAGAGAGAGAGAGAGAGAGAGAGAAAGAGAGAGAGAGAGATTCGGTTTTAGCCCCCCCCCTTCCTCAAATGTTTGTACCTATATCAAACAAAAATTCGAATTTTTTTTCTAAATATATCAGGCAGTGAAAGTAACCATTTTCAATCAACAAATCCATTTGTTTTACAGTCGTAATCGGTTTTTATTTTCCTGCTTCAAGTTCACACGAAGTCCACGTGCTTGACCTGTCAATCAAAATCATTCGACACTGTGCAGGTGTGAAAGTCTCGTCACACCGAAGGCAAAGTGTTAGTATTTCCAAGAAGTTTTAGCATTTTTCTTATCATTTCTAGATCTGATTCCAACATTTCTAAAAACAATAAATAGATAAATGAATAAAATACATTGGGAATAAATACTTGGAATAATTAAGCCGCTTGAATTTGAAACATACTCCCTGCCAATTTAAAATATCACCGCCGGCACATGTATATTTTGAACTACTATTGTTTAATGACTTTGTTTAGATGCATGTTTGTTTTGAGACTGAAATTTGTGTGCTACAAAACACATTAACTTCCTTTTAAATGTTAATTAAAATGTACTGGATATACTAAGTAACCGATTTAGGGGAAGGGGGGGGGGGGCTCTTAATAATATCGAATGACAAACATATAAGTTACGGTGAAAAATATCATTACTGGAGAATCACCTTGGTTATATAAATGATAATCATGTTATAAAGGTATTTCTCTCTCTCTAATTAAAGACTTTATATATGTAAAGTAGAAAAAAAATCTTTTATGTATAACATTTTAAACAAATATATATATTTTTAAAACCACACTATCAATTTAATTCCCTCTAAAGATATTTAATTAACTGGATATCCGCGGTACTGCTTATCATTCTCAGAACAAGTTCTATAACATGCATTTCTGTATTATTTGAAAAAAAATGTGATAGAATTAAATATATTCGTATTTTTGCTGCAGTTGGTAAATTAATTGACTTCGATTATTATCTATCCATTAACGATTTGTCGTCTTTAACATAACAACAAAATGTTGCAGTGCTTGAAGTATCAGTATTTTTCCCGTATTTAAACTTAATTTTTCAGCATCGTTCTACATAGGTACATACATGTACTTATAACAACATTTATTTTCCAGATAAATTTTTTATAAATAACCAATTCAACAGCTAAGTTAGAATAATAAAAATAAATATTGTAGATAATTTTTTCCCCATGAAATAATGATTCTTTAAACACGGTATGTTATTTATTAAATTCAAAACCTGTAAATCCTTACTTAATAAAAGATAAGTCCTTTCACTTCGGAGTTCCGAATGACAGTGAAGACTGAACGATAAGTGAACGCTGAACGCAAGGTGAACGCAAGGTGAACGCAAAGTGAAAGAACGAAGAGCGAACGGTGAACGCTTTGTGAACGGTGAACGCGAGCGCACGGTGAACGCTGAACGCAAAACTGTGAACGGAGAGCGAACGGTGAACGCACTGTGAACGAACGGTGAACGCACGGTGAACGAACGGTGAGCGAACGGAAAAATGGGAAAGTAGAACGTTTCAGGGACTGTATGTCTTGTTGTTTGTCAGCAACACCTAAAAGTCCAAGTTATGGACAGACATCTTCTTTGAAACTTAAGACACTCCTTCATAATAAATGGCTGGAACTACATACTCGACTTCTGCTGATTGTAGCTATTAATGTGCAGCTAGGAGACAATGCGATGAAGGAGTCAGTCCAAATATCTAGCAAAGCAGGTACAAGGTTTGTTCACCCTAGCTACCTGTTTGTAAGAGTCTGTTAACCCAGAGTGTGTTCACCATAATTCTTGTTCACCCTAAATCCTGTTTGCCCTATATCCGATTATTTATTATCCCATCTGCCCTCAGGCTATTGTAAATTAGTAAAATTTCAGTTGAATTTAAAGTCATTTCTTTTTTTGGGAGGGTGGGATGTTAATAGATTTAGTAAGAATTTTTATTTCCTTATAAATTGATACATTGACTAATTCCAATTTGTATCAATGATGTAATTTGTTTAATTATTATGCCCCCCTTTGAATAAGGGAGGGCATATTGCTTTGCTGCTGTCTGTCGGTCGGTCTGTCTGTCTGTCGGTCCACCAACAGTTTCCGTTCATTTTCTTTGCAGAGGTTGCACATACTGAAATGAAATTTGGTATACAGATTTAATGATTTATCATAAAAATATCTAGGTCAAGTTCTGTTTTGGATATGATCAAGCAATTTTTGACAGAGTTATGCACCTTGGACTTAGAAAAATTCCAATTATTTGCAGTTTCCATTCATTTTCTTTGCAGAGGTTGCACATAATGAAATGAAATTTGGTATACAGATTTGTCATAAGAATATCTAGGTCAAGTTCTGTTTTGAGTACGATAAAGCAATTTTTGACAGAGTTATGCCCCTTGGACTTAGGAAAAATTCCAATTATTTGCAGTTTCCGTCCATTTTTTTCGCAGAGTTAAAAATCATTTTAGTATAAAAATTATTTATTGCATGCAAGCATGCAATTTTTTAAAAACCTATACTGCATGTATGAAGTCAGTTTATATTTCAGATAGAAAGATCGAATCATTAAATTCAATAAAATCGCTTAAATTACAAAAATTAACCGACTATGATATTCAACTTGAAAGAAGGCAAGGCACAGTCACACCATAGGCAAACAAATTTTAGAGCAAACAGACTTTGGGCAAATGAGAAGAAGGGCAAACAGCATCTAGGGCAAATGCATTTTAGGGTAAACGGACATATATTCAACAAGCACAATCTCAGCTGAGATACATATCAATAGCCAGCTGATAGCAGCTGCTGATATACTATAGAATTAGAAATTATCATGAAAAGCATATATTTTGTAAGTTACCAAGTAAATCAAGTGCTCCAATTCCAGATTAATACAATACATCCTATTCAAACCGCAACCCCCCTTTTCCCTTTGTTAACTACTTAAAGAGATTCCGAATTTCCTGGAGGAGTGTATGAAAACACAAAATATTACGAGATTCTTATCATTGAAATATGAAAACCATATGTTTGGGTGTTTACATTAAAAGTTGGGTATTTGATGAATTCTACAAGCAAAGTCGTCTTCTCTTCATGACGATGATTAACTTGAAACAAAAGGCATACACAAGACAGGCTAGCTTTCCCTCAAAGCATCAAGCGTATTTAAGAATGTTAAAGCGTTTCAATGATCGAACAAGTGACGTCAGAGAGAATGATTACGGAAAATGACGAAGTAGTTGAACGAAATATGCCGAATCAATTTTCTTGGATTCTATTGGTCATATCATCTCACGAACTCTCACGAAAATCACTCGGAACCGATCATCCGTCATTGTAGCTCACCCATTGGAAACCAAATTTGCATAGCATTGTGTGATATTCACCGTAGAATTACTGGGGTAGACGAGGACATTTCGCCCCCGAAGTGTGTTACTTATCTTTGTTAAGTGTGCTGTTTGTAGGAAAGAATGAACAATATCTTCGAAGGTTTTAAGGTTTAATTGTGATCAAGTGAAAGCCGAATATCCGTCAGGTTTCACGAGCGCCATTGGGAGATGTAACATAAAGCTAAGGCTGTACTTTTACAAAGTACGTTTTAATGACTCTGTTTTAAAAAGACAATGAGTACGCGTCCTCGGACCACATCGATCGCTGAGGGTGTTAAATCTGGTTCTAACGCTCAGTTTGGAGGGATGAGAACTATAAGTAAGTGATTGATTCTCCATCAGTAGCTAGGCCAAATTAGGTCAGTCAGAAACAAACATGGCGACGTAATGGGACGATATGTGAAAGAAATGTCCATAACCTACTGTTATGGCAGCAAACATTCAGAAAAAGTCATTCTGAAAAAGAGATTGTATTTCACTGATTTGCTGCTTTGTAATTTTAATTTGACTAAATGATTTTTAAACCATGTAAACGACCGTGTAGAAAGGTCATGGTGCTCCTGTATGCATCAGACAGTCAGAATGAAGGCAGATGGTAGAGCAAATGAAATTGCTTTCCTTAATGTAGTCATAATGGAAAAAGAGAGTAAATGATTAGGTAGTTAAAGTTAAAGTAAATTAATTTTTACATAGTGATGTGTAATTGAATGACTCAATGAGGGAAAACTGTGTACCCTGAGTATTAAGGGAGTTGGTGTAAACTTTAATATTTATTTTAAGATTTTGTTAAATATAATTTTAGAAATTATATATTTATTTCAATCCACTTTTTGTTATAATTTTAATGATAAATGTACATTGTGCATTACATTATTTTCTTATTCATTTTCTTTGGATTTGATATATCCGAACTGATGTGGAGGAGACCTTAGCTTGTTAAGATTTACAGCAGTCGTGTAATATTGACATACTGCTTAAAAAGTGTATTTTTTAAGTAGTTGAGCATTAATGTAAAGAATATTTTGAAATATGCAGATAAAGATGGAAGTAAAATAACAACAGTGCTGGCCACAGCTGGGTCTGGCTCAGACAGAACTCAGGAAGTCTCCTACACAGATGCTAAAGTCATTGGAAATGGGTCTTTTGGGGTGGTATACCAGGCCAAACTGGTGGAAACAAATGAACTTGTGGCAATTAAAAAAGTGTTGCAAGATAAGAGATTCAAGGTATTTCTTCTCCATAAGTTTTTGTAAATCGATTGTGAATCATTATCAAAATTAAAGAATTGTTTCCTAAATATCTTTTCTGTTCATTATGGTTATATTTAAAATCATTTTTTTTTAATTTCAGAATAGAGAGTTGCAGATCATGCGGAAGCTAGAACATGTTAATATTGTCAAGCTGAAATACTTCTTTTATTCTGCTGGTGAAAAGGTAAACATATGCCATTCATAACTCATATGGTCAGTGACAAGAAGATCTTTTGTGATCGTAAGGTGTCCATCATCTGCCTGTCTCTTTGTTCATAATTTTTTTTCAAAATGCTACCTACCCTACAGTTTTAATCTAATTTCAGTATAAATTTTCTACACAAGTAGACTACATAACTCCGTGTATTTCTTTTTTTTTTCATTTCGACAAATATTGTTGCCTTGATTACTAAAAATAGACATTTCTGTGAAATTCCTTCAAAATGCTATTCCTTTAACAGTTTTGACCTGCTTTCAATCAAACTTTCTAAACAAAATGATTAGACAAAGATCCATAATTCTGTTAACCAGTTTTTGATTTAGGCAAACACATTGCAGGTCACTCAAAATACAAAATTCTGTGAATTCTCCTACAGGTTTGTTCTGATTTTAATACAGTATTAAAAACTTGTTTAATCCGGACACCACTGAATCCAAAGAAATTGAGCAGATTACACAAAATTCCAGCTTAGACAACATTTTAAACAAATGAATTTGCTGAAATGGAATTAAGGATAACATTGTATTAAGCAAGATTTTGGACTACACTTCATTTGGATTAGACAAGTTTGACTGTAAAACTTTATATATACGTAGTATGTACAAGTAGACTTCTGTATTTTTGCAGTGTTACCATGGTCACTAACAAAAGAAATTTCTATGAATTTATTTCAAAATGTTACTCCTCCTACAGTTAGTCTGATTGAAATTAAACTTGCCACAAAAAAGAGATTAACCTTGGATCAATATTCTTTTTATTGCTGCTGCCATAGTTTTAAGTTCAAGTGCTCCTTTTCTCTTCTTTTGTTAAAAGTATGAAACAGTAGAGCTACAGTCTTGTCAGAGACTTCTAGTTCTCATTAGAAACAAATTGATGCCATCATACAAACAAACATTGTCATTCTATGTCAGATGTTGCCAGAACTCCTGCAATACTGTTCTTTATCTGCTTGTAATTCAACTCTATGAAGAAGGGTGAGAATGGAGGTAGCTTTATGAAAAAAAAAAAAAAAAAAAAGCAAAGCATGACATATGAAAAATTTAATTTCAGAAAGACGAAGTGTTCTTAAACCTAGTTTTGGAGTATGTGCCAGAGACAGTGTATAGAGTAGCTAGGCATTACAGTAAATCGAAACAAACAATACCAGTTCTATACATTAAGGTTAGTAAAATCACAATTTACAGAAGTAATAAAGATTTCATTGCAGATCCATACTAAAATGTCATGGGTTCAGGTTTTGACAATTTGTAAACATTGTTTGGAAATATATATCTTTTATTGTATTTCAGCTTTACATGTACCAATTATTTAGAAGTTTAGCCTACATCCACTCGCAAGGTGTGTGCCATAGGGATATCAAACCTCAAAACTTGTTGTTGGATCCTGAAACTGGTGTTCTTAAACTGATTGATTTTGGAAGGTTTGTACTTGCTTTTAAGTCTCTTCATCCCATCAAAAAAACTGGAGCAAACTGAAATGAACATTTTTATAAAACTATCAATTAAGCAATTAATAGTGATGCAAAACATTTGGCCCATGATAAAAGACAATAAGTGCCTGGAAATCAGAGTTGGAATATCTGCCAAAATTCTTCATTAATACTTGAGACAAATGGTAGCAAGTATTTTTTTTTTACTTTTTTTTTTAATATTTGTTAATGAAATATAGTTAATGGTACATTTACTGCATACTCCATTTGTTTGTTCAGTACTTTTTTCCCTGTAGTATTACTTATGAACAATGAATTGAAATGTAATTTACAAACATTCTTTAGTTTATTTGAAGGTAAATTTAGTAAGGATAAGTGTTATGATATTAAACTGATTGAAATGAAAATGTCCACAATGATTGTGTTTTAAAAAATTTTATTTATCAGACTAGTAAACAACTTGGATCAGCTTAGGTTTCAGATGACTTTTGGCAAAATAATTTATTTTGGAACTGTTTTACATCAGTAAATGTATGAACATAAAAACATATTGGGCAATATACTTTTATAGCCAGCAAAGAAGTTTGGGTTGGTATATAGGAACCACCTCATCCATATGTCTATCCATGCAATCTTGTCCAGGCTATAACTTTGTTATGGAGAATCACTGGAAGCTAATACTTGGTACAAAGATTATTTATATCCTGAGGCTGTGACCCCAAGGTCATTCCAGCAAGTTCAAATCACTGGGCAGTGGCAGAAAAAGTATAAAATCTGTCTGATTTCTAAAATCCAAATAGAGAAACATTTGAAGTTCAAGCCCAACACAAAGATTGTTAAAGACCTTAATATGTGTCAGGGCCGTGACTTGAGGTCATTGTGTCAAGTTCAAGGTCACTTTTGGAATGATATGTAATTTCTGTCCTGACCTTACCTTGCAATGGAGATCAAAAGCAGCTCATACTTATCACAGATATTTCCATATGACCTCAGGATATGTAATGACCTTGACTCAAGGTCATTTAAGCAAGTTAAAGGTCACTGGTGGAAAAATTGTCAAGTTTATTCTGTAACTTTTTAATGGTAAAACATTTTGAGTACATGCTTCAGAAAAATATTACTAATGTCCTGATAGTGCATCGTGACCCAACTAAAGTTATACTGGCAAGTTCAAGGTCATGACAAAAATAGTATAAAACTTGTATCTAGTTTAGTATTCTTTCATAGATAAGTATTGGAGATTAAAATTTTAAAGATTATTTTTGAGCTGAAGGAATGTTATAACCTTAAACCATTGTGGCAAGTTCAAGGTCACTGGAAAAAAGTGTAAAATTCATGTCAGGTTCATAATTTTCTGATGGGGAAACATCAGAGGTCCATAACTCACTCAAAGATTACATATGACCATAGGATATGTCATATTTTAACTGTCATTTTGGCAGGGTCAAGGTTATATTTAGAATATTGTGGGCACTATTAAAAATGCAGCAGGGTTGTATATGGGCACCTTTTAAAAATGTATAATTTTGTGAGCTAATTCACAGTACCTCAAGTTATTGTTTCAGTTATGTACAAAAGGAAGTCATAAATCTTTTTATTAAATTATTGTTTGCACAATGATGCTCAGTGTTTTTGCTAAGAACCTACCAGCCAAGTTAACTGCTTCAATTAAAGAAATGCCAGTTACCAATATCAAAATTAAAAGACATTGTTGAACCATCCATTTACACAGATACATTACTGATAAACCTTATTTTAATGATTTCATGAAGCATGACTAGATGAAAATATTTGGGTCCTGACTTTTAAAATGCTAAAATGGTGGAAATGAAACAGCTGGCAATGATATATATTTCTGCTTGAAAAAGAATGAAACAAGTCTTTATGTTGAATGGACAACTGGATGGCATTTTTAATAAGCATTTATAGAAACTAATATTTTGATACATTAAGTCTGAAAATTAGAATGATATGGTCAACACAGTTCCAAAAATGCTCTAGGCCAATAAAGGGTTTGAAATTAACAGTTGCCCACTTGCCATTTGTGATTTATTTTCTGTGTGAGCAACTTTAAATTATGTTCAAGTTTTCCACATTGCCATTAGAAAATTTATGATGATAAATATTTGTTTTCCAAATTTGTCTAAATGTTTTGAAAAATATAATCAATAAAGCACTTCATAATTACTAGTAAGAAGCACTTCTACTTAAAGCTTTTAAGTCGTGGTTTCGGACACATTGTGGCATGGACAGGGTCAGTGAGCCCAAGAATCCAAATTTGTGAATGAAACATGCCATGTGCTCTACATCTTGTAATTAAATAACCGTAATCATATCAACCAGTAACAGAAATGTTCCATTTCAAATTCAGATAAGTTGTGCATAATGATAATATAATAGAAAAGTTAAAAAAAACTAAGCCTATAAATAAATAGATTTTTTTTTTCTTGAATAGATGTATAGGTAAATAATTTGCAAATAAATATTGATGTGGGCCCCTAGAATTCCAAGGTTTAGAAGCCCTCATGGCTAGGAAAGGTTTCAAGTTAGTTTAAAACCCTGTATTAAAATTGGACTCTAGACTTTTACTTTGAAATAAAGAGAAAACAATGGATGCTAGGGTACTGAGTGTATATGTTTAATTTCTTTGTAGGTGGATTGTGTTGTGAAATACAATATTCTTTTATTTCTTTTCACAGTGCAAAGGTATTGGTGCGAGGAGAACCCAATGTGTCCTACATTTGTTCTCGTTACTACAGGGCTCCTGAGTTGATTTTTGGTGCTTCAGATTACACCTGTCAAATAGGTATTTAGTTTAGTTTACCTGTTAGGAACTATTTCCAATAATTAAAAGAATCAGATTACTACTTATGATGCCCAAAATTGATATGTATGAAAACTTTTGTTGTTATGATTGTCATTTATACATAATGGATATTAAGATGTATGTCTGAAGAGTGAAATGTGGCTTTTTAAGCTCACCTAAGCCAAAGACTCAAGATAGCTTTTCTGATCAAAATTTTGTCTGTTGTCTGCCACAACTGACGGCTTTGTTATTGTTGTCGTAAAATTTTCATCTTTTCCACAACCATTTGATCAGTTTCAACAAACTTGACACAGAGTATCCTTGGGTGGAAGGGACTCAAGTTTGTTCTAATGAAAGGCCACACCCCTTAGCAAAGGGATATTATTAAGAAATTCTGAAAATTTAGTGAGGTCATTTAAAAATCTTTTTCTCAAAAAACCACTAGGCCAGAACAGAAGTTGAAACTTATGAAAGCTTCCTGACATAGTGTAGATTCAAATTTGTTCAAATTATGACCCCCAGGGGTAGGGTGGGGCCACTACTTTGCAATCAAAGTTTTACATTGGAACATATGAGGGGAAAAATCTTTAAAAATCATCTTTTCAAGAACAGCAAAACCATGATCAGTCATTTTTAAATTGTGTGGTGTAGATTCAAGTTTGTTAAATGACCCCCGGCAGGGCTAGACAAATAGCATTGCCCGACGCCCGGGACAACCAATTTTGTTTGGTGGGCAAGTTATTTGATAAGTGGTACCTGCCCGCGGACAAGTGCTTCTCCAGTTAACAAAAAATCAAATGTTGTTTGTTTTATCGCTGTTGAAATGTAATGAATCACAGTAGAGCACCTGTTTTTCGCTGCTGTTCATTACTACATCGAATACTCGGTCGGAACTCCTCTAGAATTTACCCATTTATGTGTAGTTAAAATACACACAGGACGTAAAACATAGCAGCTATCGATTCCATGTCAAAAAAGTTGAAGAGGATTTTAGACCTTTTTAGGTATTGTAAAAAATAATGTAAAAATTCATCCCGTGAGTACAAACGTGTTATACTGATATTAAAATTGGAGCTGTTGACTGGCGATCACTGAAAGCCACAATCGACATGCAGTGGTGGTTTTCATAATCAAATACTTTATAATATTCAAAAAAAAAAATTTTCTATCTTTCAGTATTTTTGGGATGTTAAAGTAATACAGAGAAAAGTTTAAAATATGCGCACTGCACAAGCTAAGAAATCTACATGGAACAAGACTTACCCCTAAATTTTTCCATGCAAAAAATTAAGTGATTTTATGTCTAGTTTGGTTCCCATGTAGTGTATCAGTTGAGAAATAATTTAATGTTTAACGATAATGCTTTAATTTTATGTTAATTAAGAAAAAGTGGGACAAGCATATTTTTTGGTAGGACAAGTAATTTTACGATGGTAACCTGTCCGAGGGCAAGTACTGAAAAATTCTATTTGTCTACCCCTGCCCCGGGCGTAGGGTGGGGTCACAATATGTGAACTAAGTTTTACATAAGAATATATAAGGAAAAAAATCTGCTGATGAGGAACAGAAGGGCCATAGTGATTCAGGTAAGCACTGTGGTCCATAGGTGTCTTGTTACTATGTTGCCTTTGTGAACACACAGATAACAAATTGCTGAAGTATCTGTGCTCTTTCAAAATACTACATGTACTCCTCTCGAGTTTTGGTCTGATTTCAGTAAGGATTAGAACACAAAAAGACTTTACTATGATGCATAATTTTACAAGCTGGTTTTTGATTTCGACCAACAATTTTGCCATGTTTATAAAAAATTAAAATTTCATTGAAATCCTTTTAAAACATTACTCCTCCTACAGGCCTGGTCCGAATTTAATAAGACTTTGAATACAAGTAGAGTACATAAAGATACATCTTACTTTATTATAAGTATACACCAGGAGAGCTACAGTCTTGTCAGAGAACTATCTCAAGAGACATTTTCTGATATTTATTCTATTAGTATAAATACTCTTCTTTCAATGAGAAGTTTTTTTTTCCACAGATGTATGGTCAGCTGGATGTGTTTTAGCAGAACTACTGTTAGGACAACCCATTTTTCCTGGGGACAGTGGTGTTGACCAGTTGGTTGAGATCATCAAAGTTCTTGGAACCCCAACGAGAGAACAGATTCGAGAAATGAACCCCAATTACACAGAATTCAAGTTTCCTCAAATTAAAGCTCATCCCTGGACAAAGGTAATGTAACAAAATCTGTTATGACCCACTATCAACTTTGTATCAAACATTTGAAATGCATTTTAAATTTTTTAAAAGTTTACATGTATTAAAAGTATGTTGTTAAGAAAGTAAAAATAGGAAATATGTAAATCAGAAGATAGTTATCCTATTTGATTGTATATGACCTGAGGATGTGTTGAAGTCAAGTTCAGGGTCAAGGTTATTTTTACTTTTTAGAAGTCAAAACTGATAAGGATATCATAGAGTATCTGTGGTTTATTTTTAGGTCTTTCGTCCAAGGACTCCTCCAGAAGCAATTCAGCTGGTCAGTCGCTTACTTGAATATACTCCATCTGCAAGGATCTCTCCGCTGGAAGCATGTGCCCACACTTTCTTTGATGAACTGAGAGACCCTAACACCAGGTTGCCAAATGGCAGAGAACTACCACTCCTGCTAAATTTCACTTCACAGGGTAAGTGAAGGTTCTTGTATTTTTTTTTTTAACTGCAGTTACATGTATATATGGATTAGTTTATTTATTGTATGTTTACTTGCATCATTTTATAGATACATAGTATTAATTGTTTGAATTAAATTTCAAGTTCTTTAATGTTAAAATTTTAAACTCTTATTTTTTTCTATAGCAATTCATGATTTTCCAGATTCCTCCTTAATAAATACAAGTACACGTATTTCACAGATTTGGGGCTTGTTGGTTTAGAATGGTTTTCTTTCAAATTTGCAAATTGCTAATTTCATGAATTTGGTTATCACTTTTTGGACCTACTTCTCAAATACTGAAATACATGTAGTGTGATAGGGAAATTTGTAACAGGTCTTTTAGTGTTCAAATTCATTTAATTCAAAATTCTGTGTGCAAACAGTATATCTGCCCAAGTTCTTCAAAAAAATCATAATTGAGAACCAACAAATACTACTTAATATGTAGCTTTTTTGCGTATGCTTGGTTTTCCTTTACAGAGTTAGCTATCCAACCTAACCTGAATTCTGTCCTTGTACCTCCACATGCCAGAAACGCAACTGATCCTGGTGCAGTGGCTGGAGACAACAATCCTGGTGGTGATGGGGGGACCACCCAGGGTGCCACAGCTGCCACAGAACCTGTGTGAAGTACTAGTCTTGCAATGGCTTCTGTCTGCACGAGCAACTGACTGTTTTGGTAGAGTTTCTTTGATTGACAGTTTATTGTATGTTATATGTGGGAGCTTCTGTCAGAGACATAATATTCACCTGTTTTAAGCTGTTGCAAGCATAACAAACTTCACAAACAAATCAGTGATTTGTAATATCAAATATGGAGTTGATTTGATGGAGACTGATTGAATTTCCATCAGTTGAAAGGGACAGTGATTGCAACATTTCTTCAACAAATACCAAAAAAGATGATGGGACTCCCACTGTAAATTTTCCTGTGATGAATTAGTGTTTTTCTTTTCCTGAACCTAATTTCTTGAGGATGGAGGACATTTTGCCGGTGCAGAGAGCAACTTAAAAGATATCATGGTGTTAGGATTCAGGTTTCAACTGCCACTCTCCAAAATTTGGATGGCTTATATACATTTGCTTGATTTACATTGGAGATTAGACATACAGATTTGTATGATTGCCATTTTTTCAGCTGCATGTGTAGTGATTATTGTTACTAAGATCAATTTTTCAGTAGAAAAAAGGGACAAAGATTGTTTCTTGGATATCAAGTTGATATTATACAGTGCATGATGCATATCTTGAGAACAGAAACACAGTGTGTGTTCTTTGAATTGAATTTTCTTGAGATAGATTTACAGATTTTCTTGAATTCTATTGTTAGATACTTATATGATATGGCGAGACTTGGTTGATGTCTAGTGTAATTGGGTATTATGAAGATAATTAATGTGTATTATCATGTAAATTTGTATCAATGGCACTAAAATAGATAACACTCTCTTTGATCCTTATATGTATATGTCATGTTCAGATATTTGAAGAATGTAGAACTGTTCTAGAAAGAACAAACTTCATTAGTTACTGAACTTTAAAAAAGGCATTTCACATTCAGTTTTAATCAGTGGTTGTATGACTGAGGTATGAATGTTGCTAAATCTTGTATGTGAGAGGTTTCTTTTCTTTTAATGTCGGGTGAAAAATAGGCAAGATATTTATAGATGTTTTAAATCTGAAACTATTTAGTCTTGTTCGTAACTTAACGTATTAGTGTATAGTCATTGTTTTTATTGTTTATATACATTTATAAATATTGTTATTGACTGCAACTGACCTCATTCAGAAAGAGAGTGAAATATAATGTAAAAAAGAAATGCTTAAAATAATCAACATTTTCTGTAACTGTATTTGTTTTATTAAACTCTAATTTGTTAATATATAAGTAATTATCAAAGACAATTTTAACTTTTTTTAAAATTGAAATTTAGTGAAAATTACCAATTATGCCCAGCCTGTATTGAGATCAGTTAGTCCTCTCTACTGTGGAGTATTTTGCCTCAGATCTTAAACATGAACATATCTAGTCGTTTTACCATTGTGAATATTGCCCATTTTTCTGCAAGTGTTCCCATTTTTCCCAAAGAACTTAAGCTTTGTAGTCTTTGGAGAGGCATAGGACTTCAGTTGTTTCCATTTGAAAAAAAACTGAATACATATTATGACGAAAATTTTAAGTAAATTTATAAAACATTTGAAACTGTTCACTTTTCAGTAATGCTGAACATTTTAAAAAAAAATTAGTCTGTATTAAAACAAGCATTGGTTAACTCTATATAAAAGATATAGTCCATATTTTATTTGTGTGTAGAAATGTATACAGATCCTGCCACACAACGGCAAAAAAGTAATACATCTGAAGATTAGAATTATGAACTGTGAGAAGAAATTTTCACATTAAATCTTCAATATTTCAACAAAAATATAAATATTACTGTTTAACTTAGTAAAGTTTATCTCTGTTACACTTTTTGTAGAATTGTATGCATAACTTGCCAAGCACAGGCAAAAATGAATACATATAAAGATTAGAATAATGAACCATGAAAATAATTTTTCATGTTTTTATACTGTATCCACTGTCTGATGGGAAATGTTTTATAAGCATGTGTGTGACGGAAGGGAGTAGTAATGGTGTTCAGACTCAACATTTTATTATGTGGTAGTGATAAAAAGGTACTGCATGCCCTGTATCATAGCTTTCTATGTTTCAAAGATGTTATTTAATCCTCACCATTTCATTCACCAAGTGAACATGATACAACATTTGTGTGAGTGCCAAGATCATTTGTAGATATAAACTTGGTAATTGTTAACAAGGATGCTAGAGCTCTGCATCCTTTACTATAAATATGATAAAAATGTTCTGGAATACAAGTTTAACTTAGAATAAATGACTGAAATGTTCTTTATACGGTTTATTAGTTGTAGATTAGAATAATGCCAGGTTCTAGTTTTGTTACGTATTATTTGTGTGTCTCTGGAGCAAACCTGTTCATGTTGATGAGAACAAACATGTACAAAGCTCAGGGAAAATGAAAATGTTCATAATAAAAAAAATTCTACCTGTTCAGAGTTTCATCCCAGATGTCAATAAATGAATAAAAAATGCCATTATCACTTTTCAAAATCATGTGCAACCCACTTATTCAACATATTCAGTTCTAAAGTTTTGACTATTTACATCAAAGTGATGCTTATTGAAATCTAAATTATTGAACCTGAAGTTCAACACTGTCATTGATTGAATACTGTTGTTTCCATTTATATATTTAAAATAAGTTGTGGTCACAGAATTGCTTTCCCTGTCAGGAGAATTCTTATAAGTCTTCAAAATATATAATATACATACCAAATTCCATATGCTCCTCAGAGCACTTATATCCCAAAATATTTTCAACCAACCACAGATACTGTAAAACCATTTTTGGTGGATCACAAATTTGGTGGATTTAGGTTATTAAAGAACGGAGGTGGTCAAGGTGAGGACAATCTCCCGCTCAGAGACGATATATTTCTCAAGCTCAAGTTCATGGAGAAGTTTTAATTTTCAATAGATTGAAACAGAATATAAAATAAAACAAAAGCTGATAAATGAATGATGCCCAAAAGCAAGAGAAATAGGATGATCAGGGATCAGCAAAATAATTAATTTTGTGCTCGATTACAAATCTTAAAAAAATTACTTGGCCCCGTTTGTCACTATCCTCATGCAAACTAAATAAAACGATCATTCTTGACCTGCATTGGTAAACCTATCTCATTTCCTCTCACATTAGCCTCTTTTGGTCATTTAAGAACATTTAGTGGACAAAGATAAGGTACTTTTGCCCCATTTTTATTCATCTACTAGTATTATATATACAAGTCTTTAGGGATCTAACCATCAAAAACAACGAAAGTGCTTTTTGAATTAAATATAAAAATTCTTGAATAATTCTGTTATTCAATTGACCTTTCAGTTACATTATTTACAGTGATTAATTATCATACGTGAATAGCAAAGGGGCATAACTTCTTTCCGTAAAATACAAATTAATAAATTAACCAAGTGGTGCAGAATTTCTAACACCTGGTAAAGATCATAGGTGCTTGTGGAGAGGACAACCCCCCCCCCTCCCCCCCCCCCCCCGATATATGACCCCGGGCTTGTTGGATTTTTTTTTTTTTTTTTTTTTTTGATTTTTTTTAATTTTATTTTATTTTTTAAATTTATACTTATTACACTTCCTTATCATGTATACCATACAAAAAAATTGGGTTAAAACTCAAAATAACCGTTCCATACAAAAAATACCTCACTATACATAATAAGAGAGATAATCAACAGAGAAAAATAGGTTGGGGTCATTAAAAAATCTTCCCAAGAACCACTAGGCCAGAATAGATCAAATTTACGTGGAAGCTTCCTGAGGTAGTGCAGATTCTAAATTATTCAAATCATGGCCCCCTGCGGGGTAGCGTGGGGCCACAATAGGGAATCAAAGTTTTACATTGAAATATATTGGGAAAATCTTTAAAAATCTTCTTCTCAAGAATCACTGGGCCAGAAAAAGTGAAACTTGTATGGAAGCTTCCTAAGGTATTGTATTTTCTAAATTATTCAAATCATGGCCCCTGGGGTAGGGTGGGGCCACAATAGGGAATTAAAAATTCTAAGTTGAAATATATATATACATAAAAAATCTTTTGAAAATCTTCCTCTCAAGAACCACGCCGTCACGTTAGTTCAGTCGGTAGAGCGCTCGCTCCGTGATCGGAAGGCCGTGTGTTAGAATCACGGCCACGACTGACCTAAGTCGATTAAGGAGGTTCGATCCTGAGCCTTTGAGCAGATTTTGGTCTGGACCTTTATTTCTAAAATTCTGCATCATTTTTAAGTTCTAACATTAAATCTGGATTCTACAATGCAAATTAAACTATATCCAATGAAAAAACCGCGATTAAATTCCATTCAAATAGGATTTAGCCAGGAACCATATTTTGTGACGGAAGGTTTTTTAGAAGAAAGTGATCAATTTTTCCCTTTTGAAGTATATACAGTACTGTTAAGTTTAGATTCCTATTTTTCCGTGCTGGTTGCACACAGAGCTGTTTTTTTGCAGTGAAATGTTTTATTCTGGTTCTGAAATATCTGTTAAATTATTTCTCATGAATTCTTTCATTATATTGTGACAAATATAGTAAATATATTCTGAAAGTCCTGGAAAAAAATAAGCCAATTTTAACATAAAATTAACACCTTTTTAGTAATATCTAAAAATTTACATCATAGACCCCAACTTTTGTTTGTCTTTTCTGAATATATAAGATATCTTTGACCAATCTGCTTAAATTCAGCAAAAGTTTAAGACTTTAAAATGATTTTTTTTGCTTGTTAAATTTTTAATGCCAGAAAAATCTCATTTTGTGAGTGCAGAAAGGTCAAATAATTGATTATGCGAAGCAATTTGCAACTTTTTCTTAGTCACAATTTTAATGTGTTTTTTTTTTTTTTAAATAGAGTAATATTTTATTTTGTCCCATTTTTTATTTGGATAAAAGCATTGGATGGAAAACGTCGAAGATGTGATTTTTGATTAAGACACAAATTTCAATGCAAAAAGGTCATATTAAATGTACTGTGGCACCAAAAGAAGCATATTGACCCCCATTTTTTGTTTTGATTTTTAATTAAGCTATGTATGTAGAAACAAAAAATATACTTGACAAAAAAAGTTTAAGACTTTAAATATCAGGATCCAACCTCGTTAAAAAAAAATAGGTAGCAACTGTTCCTTCGCCAACACTCAGCACTTTGAAGTAAAAGATTAAGGAGGAATGCCACACCAAAATTTTATTTAATAGATCTTTAAGAAATCCCTTTTAAACTATGGTTTCACCATTGAAAGACTGATATTAGCTTTTAATTAATTTATACGAATTTTTTATTTTTTTATTTTTTATTTTTTTTTTTTTTTTTTTTTTTTTTTTGCATTTTATTTTATTTTTTTTTATTTATTTTTTTTTTTTTTTTGCATTTTTTCAGAGAAAATGTTAAAAAAAATGTTTTGTTTGCAAGTAAGATATGATGCTTTATGGTTTAACATTTGCTTTTAATAAATGCTTTATATGAATGTCTAATAAAATTTATTGATATAGGCTGGATAGACATTTTATTTTTTAAATAAAAAAATTATTTATGAAAGCACATGCATGATTTGTGAATATCTTTTAAACCTATGGTTAAAATCTTCATAAAACTAGTCACAACTTGGGAGAATATGTTTGTCAATCATATTTTAAAAAGAAATTGAAATGAAATTGAGAAATTTTAGGCAAAAAAAATATTTTAATATTTGGACCAATCCCGATCAAAATTAACACATAATGAATAAAATAATAATTTACCGCCTTCTTCTTGTATTTACCACTAAGAAATTTATTTGATTATCAAGTTCAATTACTTTTTAACCTGTATTACCCCTAAACAAACTAGTATTCTTGAGAAAATGTTATCTATTTCCAATTATTACAAAATTCTGATTGGGATCAGTTTAATTTTGACCTGGATTGGCTAAAAAGAAATTATTTCTCTAAAATTTCGCATTTTCATTTCAATTTCAATGCAAACAAATTCGAATAAAATAATTTCAAGCTAATATCAGTCTCTCAATGCTGAAACCATAGTTTAAAAGGGATTTCTTAAAGATCTATTAAATTAAATTTTGGTGTGGCATTCTTCCTTAAGTTGCGGGTCCTTCGGATGAGACCTTAAAAACCGAGGCCCTGTGTCACGGTAGGCCTTGGCACGATAAAGAACCCTCACTGCTCAATGGCCCCGAATGCCCAGTATAGGTCTAAATTTGAAGCTCTTCACCGGTATATGGTGACGTCTCTATATGAGTGAAAAATTCTCGAACGGGACGTAAAAACAACATATAATCAATCAATCAATCTCAAGAACCACTGGGCCAGAAAAGATGAAACTTATATATAAGCTTCCTGAGGTAGTGTATTTTCCAAATTATTCAAATCATGGCCCCTGGGTATGGTGGGGCCAAAATAGGAAATCAAATTTTTATATTGAAATGTATGGGTAAAAACTTTAAAAAAAAAAAACACTCTTCTCAAGAACCACTGGGCCAGAAAAGGTGAAACTTATATGGATGCTTCCTGAAGTACTGAAGATTTTAAATTACTCAAATCATGATCCCCCGGGGGTAGGGTGGGGCCACAATAAGTATTATAAGGGGGAAAATATGGTGAAGAACAACAGTCAGTTATTCAGGTGAGCATTGTAACCCATGGGCCTCTTGTTTTCTTTAAACATACTGTGAAATTTCAAAATTGAGGATTGTCTCCCTCATGCATAGCTCTGATCCTTCGACGTATTTGGCTCCAGTCTTTGGCACCTTTTTTCCGCTCTTCGATCCAAGTCCTTTTATTTAAATACTTTGGATTTCCAACGTTTCGGCTTGAGCATCACTGAAGAGACATAATTTGTCAAAATCCGCATCTGGTACCGTATATGACTTACATACCTTAAAAAATGACTGAAAAATAAATTATTTATCAATAAAAAAAAATAATGAAATAAGGGAATCAAATGTGTAAAAGATGATACTACAGCTGTAATAACAGTTTTTGGAAAAAAAAAATGAACTGGCAGTGGCGTATACATTCCTATCTGCTAATGTGTAGGCTAGTGAGAAGTCACAGATTTAACCTGAGGTGCAAAGTGTGTGTAGGTAAGGATCGAGAAGGTCGCCCCCCCCCCTCTCGATAGGGATTTGGGAAAGGGGGGGGGGTCGGTGGGATCTTTTTTGCGAAGACATATACGATTGTCCTCTACAATTTGACAAGTGAAAATAATACATGTATTGTAAATATTTTTTTTTCAGTTTAGATCATGGTATGAAGACTAC